ACCTTTTACAGTCTGGTTCTTCCCGTTCGATCTCACTCTGTTTCTCGCATCTTCGTATATGTTCAGCTTCGGATTTGAAGCAAATTGATGAACTCGTGATTTCACGCGGATCTACGAGCAGGTAAAGCAAAACCAAATAGTGCAAGCTATCTTCGAATTTTCCTTTTTTTTTTTTTCTGTGAATTTATCTTCCATAGATCAGATCAGTATTCTTGTCACAAGCTTCTCTCTTCCTTTCCGATCGATCTAGATCGTAATGATAAAATGGACTTTTGTATTAGTTTTAGGGAAAGAGAGCAGTTATGGAGTGGGCAACGGTGCAGCATCTGGATCTGCGTCACGTAGGTCGCGGTGTGAGCAAACCGCTTCAACCTCATACGGCGGCGTTTCATCCCACACAGGCTGTAATCGCTGTCGCCGTCGGCTCTCATATCATGGGTAAGAAAAAATCTCCGCAATTGTCAATGTTGTTCCACATTTAGCATTCTGTAGATGCTTGGTTTATAGTTGTGATTGGTCGAAACCTATTGTTTTGCAGAATTTGATGCATTAACGGGATGTAAGATCGCGTCTATCGACATTGGATCTCCAGCTGTTAGAATGTTGTATAGTCCTACTAGCAGCAATGCCGTGGTTGCCATTCTAGAGGTCAATTTCACCAAAAGCTGAAACTTTCATTTTCAATTTTGAAGTTCTTAGATCATATGTATTTAATACTACTACTTTTAGGTCTGTGTTCGGTATTTTTAAACTGTTTTGTTTTTGGATCGGTTAGGATTGTACAATTAGGTCTTGTGATTTTGAAACGGAGCAGACTTGTGTCTTGCATTCACCGGAGAAGAGGAGTGAGCACATATCCTCGGATACAGAAGTTCATCTTGCCGTGACGCCACTCCAACCTGTTGTGTTTTTTGGATTCCCAAAAAGAATGAGTGTGACAGGTTTGGTCTTCGGTCCCCTGAGTTCTCATATATTACCAGATTAAAGTGTACTGAATAGGTGTTATGTTTCTTGTTCTGATTGCCTTTTTCATAATCTTTGCTGTAGTTGTTGGAACTGTTGAAGGTGGAAGAGCTCCAACAAAAATTAAGACAGACCTTAAGAAACCAATTGTGAACATTGCTTGCCACCCCCGACTTCCTGTCCTGGTATGATACAACATCCTCATTTTACCATCTTAGTCTGTAGAATCTGGTTTTGTTGCGTGCATGCTTAATTTCTTTGTTCAATTTTGTGTCTTTTCAGTATGTAGCATATGCAGAGGGGTTGATACGAGCTTATAACATTCATACTTATGCTGTTCATTATACACTACAGCGTGAGTTTAGGAGGATCTCACGTTTCTCATTGTCTTTATTCTTCTCGCTTGTGGCATCATGAGATTAGCTACCACTTACAATAGATCTTTGAAATCCTTGCAGTTGATAATACTATTAAACTCATTGGTGCCAGTGCGTTTGCTTTTCACCCGACACTAGAATGGATTTTTGTTGGAGATAGGAGGGGCACACTTTTAGCGTGGGATGTTTCAACTGAAAGACCTAATATGATTGGAATGTAAGTGAATATTCACTGCTTTCAGCTTTCTGTTTGCTGGAAATGGATCTCTATCGCTTGTTTCTCGTAATAATTAATTCCTGTTTGTTTTCTTTTGGTACAACTGCAGTACGCAAGTGGGTTCGCAACCCATCACTTCAATTTCTTGGCTTCCTATGTTGCGTGTACTTGTCACTGTGTCCAAGGATGGATCCCTTCAAGTGTGGAAGACACGGGTTATAATAAATCCCAACAGGCCTTCGACACAAACTAACTTTTTTGAGCCCGCCGGTAAGCATGATGTCTCTTAAGTGGATCCACAGGCGAGGATACGTATTTTCCTACCCGATTTAGGATAAACTCCCATAACTATCTTTTTTCTTTTGCAGCTATGGAATCAATGGACATTCCTCGAATTCTCTCTCAACAGGGTGGGGAAGCTGTTTACCCTTTACCACGAATCAAAACTTTAGAAGTTCACCCAAAGCTGAACTTAGCAGCTTTGATTTTTGCAGTTAAGAATATTCATTTTACTGCTACTGCCATTCCTCGCTTAGGTAGAAGTGTGGCTTCTATCTTCTGACATACTGGATTTTTATACAGAACATGGCGGGTAATGAGAACCCTCAAAATCGAGCAGCTCAGACTAGGGAAGGAAGGAAGCAGCTATTTGCAGTTCTGCAAAGTGCTAGGGGATCTTCAGGTGAATCTTGTACACTTTTTTGTTTTTGTCGTAATAAGTGATGCTCTTCTTAAGCTGTACGGATGTGTCTCTAGCGAGTCACTAATCCTCTGATTTAACAAGGTTGTGGGTTCTTCCAGAGCTGGTTGGTATCTAAATCCTGCTTTCTAACATTTGAGGTGATTAACAGCTTCTGTTCTAAAGGAAAAGCTTTCATCCATGGGTTCCTCTGGAATTTTAGCTGAGCATCAACTCCAAGCTCTGCTACAGGAGAATCATCACAAGGGGTAGGTGGAAATTTCCTAAGAAAATATACTATAATATGTCATAATTCCATACGAAATGACTCAAGCCTTTCATATCTCATCTGCCTCGTTTCACTCTATTACTTTTTTGCAGCCAGAATCAGCTAACAATTTCAGATATTGCACGGAAGGCATTCCTGTATAGTGTACGACTGCCTTACCTTTTAGTTTACACATGTTTGTATTATTATTTGGAACTATGTTGAGCGAAGTCCGTGACTTAATCCATACAGCATTTTATGGAGGGTCATGCCAAAACTGCTCCAATATCAAGATTACCCCTTATTACCGTCGTCGATACAAAGGATCAACTGAAAGACATTCCTGTTTGCCAGGCATGTAACTGTTGTTCAGAGCTTGTTTTCTATTTAGCTTAATTATGCCTGACTGATTGAATTCTTTGACAGCCATTCCATTTGGAGCTGAATTTCTTCAATAAGCCAAATAGGGTTCTCCAGTACCCTGTGAGGGCCTTTTATATCGAGGGCCTTAACCTCATGGCACACAATCTCTGTTCTGGAACGGACAACATCTACAAGAAGCTGTACACATCGGTAATATCTGATATCATGTGATTTCAATTTATGTATGATTTATTTTTACTTACAGCCCTTTTTGATTTCAGATTCCCGGAAATGTGGAATATCACTCCAAACATATTGTTTACAGTCGTAAAAGGCACCTCTTTCTGGTTGTCTATGAATTCAGTGGTGCCACGAATGAAGTTGTGCTTTACTGGGAAAATACAGGTTCTCAGTTGCCTAACAGCAAAGGAAGCACTGCTAAAGGTTTGTCTGATTATTAGATTTCCGTACTTCTCTTTAGAGAACTTCCTATCCCACCTCAGATTTTTTTTTAATAGTTTTTGAGAGCATCAAATGGTATCATAGAGTATCCAAACAGTTATATATACCAGGGATACAATGTATGCTATATAAATCAGTAAGTGCTTTTTCCGCTGAGAGACTGTTGCTAGGGTCTTATGCTCTGTTTATCCTAGGGACTAACAATAAAGGAATCTACAGATGCTCTGTTAACTTGTAAGAGATGCAAGCTTAGAATTATTTAAGGCGTTCATCCTTTTTTTGTTATCCCATGTTTCCGGATGTGTAAACAAACAAGGGAGGACTATCTCAAAGCTATATTTTTGGCTCTCCAGGTTGTGATGCTGCCTTTATCAGCCCAAATGACGATCAATTTGTAATTCTAGACGAGGATAAGACAGGACTGTCGATGTATATCCTCCCAAAACTCACCACAATGGAAGAGAATGAAAAGAATTTGATGTCTGAAGAAAACCAAACCAAGGAGGCGAATCCTTCTGCAATTCAGGGTCCACAACAGTTTTTGTTTGAGACAGAAGTTGATCGTATTTTTTCCACACCAATAGGTGTTGCTTCGGATACTCTCATATTTGAAAATTACTTATGATTGGGAGTGTGCTAGCGCTAACTGATGCCACTTTTGATAACAGAGTCCAGTCTGATGTTTGCATGTAATGGAACCCAAATTGGGCTGGCAAAGTTGTTTCAAGGCTACCGTCTCTCAGCTTCAGATGGTCATTATATTTCAACACAAGGCGATGGACGAAAGTCAATCAAGTTGAAGAAACATGAAATCGCTCTTCAGGTATGAAATTCCCTAC